AAGGGGGGCTTGAATCTGCTTTTAATCAAATTCAGGTGCACGAGTGAAAGTCAAACATAAAAAATTACGGAACTTCGAGGGAAAATGACCAGGATTACCTCCAATAGGATGTAAGTACCATCTTAGTCTTACCCCTATTTCAACTACGCGCAGGTATGAGCCAATATTACTTGTGTTTCTTCAAGTTCGGCCAAAATAAGCAAGGTCAAATTCCCCTATCCGCTCGGCGGCCGCGAATTTTGACATTAACGAAACAAACGAAACGCACTATTGTCAGCGCCCCTCATATTGTAGGAAGCACTCAGAACAATACGCTTACAATTGACTGGGAGAAAGGAAAAGGGGGGAGGGGGGGGGCGCAAAGCAAATATTTTTCTGACCGTAACGTTACTCGACCGGGCCTTGAATCGCCGGGAAATCGAAAATAGAAACGGGGATAAAAAGCAGGGCTCATCTCAGTAAAAACGTCGTATGTGCATTCGAACGTTGCCAAATTTCTCCTTTAAAAATATTAATTTTTGAAGAAAGTTATGAATATCTTTCCTCGAAATTTTCAAAATTTTTAGATCGAATAACATACAAAATCCTGCCGAAAATCGGAGGAGGAACATTCAAAAATTTTCCTGAAAATTCGTGTTTTATCGGAGGGAATTTGGCAACGACTGTATGTTCATACGTCGTTTTTCCTGAGCGCGGCGGATCTTGTCCCGTCCCGCGACGGACGTTGAGAAAACATTTGCTCACCTTTATTATAATAAAGTTAATTCGGGCTGAAGAACTGCCAAGACCAATAAATCGGCGCGCGGCGCGGGGCGCTGGAGACAGCGGTCATAAACGGCGGTTAATGGGTTGTCATAAAAACTATTATTAGTTTGCACGGCGGGAGTACACAGATTAAGTTTCGGGCCCACTCCGCGTTTAATGGCTTCTAAATGGCTTATGATTACCTTCTCAAGTCGATAGGTGGGAGCGTCCTCCATTTTCTCCCCCCCCCCCCCTTTCTCCGTGACCTCTCTCTCTCTCGGATTTATTTTTTATTTTCGTACAGGCATATGGCGTTTTCCCTTAAGGTCCAGTTACATGATCAGACTGAGCCATCAAATTGGTCATCTCATTGGTCGCATCCTCACCTCAGGTCTTTTTCCACCAATCAGAGCTTCGATTTGGTGGCTCAATAGTCAATTTGATCGTGTAACTGGACCTTTAGCACGGCAGTATGGTATTGATGACTAAATTTTGAGTTTTTGTGGACTAAGAACCCTTTTAACCGTGAACATCCCCTACAACACGGAACATCCGATTCATTGATTCAAATTTTGAAAATTAGTGTCAGTAATTTTTAGTTGAAATTGATCCATATGCACACATAAAGCAAAGATATGTGCATCTCACTGGAGATGCACTTTTCGGAAAAATAAAAATTGGACCGTTCGCATTTTATCCGAAAGAACAATGAAAGGCGTTTCCCATCGAGACTTCAAAGTCTGAAACTTACTTTTAACTTCAAAAATATTGCTGTACTGAAAATTTTGTCTCCAAAGACCAGGTCCCATTTCACGTAAAAGGCCAAATAGACTTAAAATATTAACTAGCAGTTCCTTGCGTCGAGTGTTCACAGCCTCTTTACTGTTGATTTTCATGGCCGATCAATACTGAGCGATATTATTGCTTCATCAAATTTTCATAGCTTATTAATCAGCACGTGACACATTTTATGGGCAAGACCATTAATGAAGCTATCAATGAACAAGTAAAATATTTACGGTCATTCTCTAGGAGACATTTGGTTATGATTATTATCACACATCGAAAAGTATGAGGAATCTGAATAAAATGCTGAAAAAGGATCACCGGAGGTTGCGGAACATGCAACACGGCTAAGGAAAGCCAAACATACTTTGAAAACAGCCTGAATCGTCATCGATGTAAGCGGAGCTACGATGTCAAAACTTTGCGAATCCCTTCTATTCTATCTTTCGTCCACGTATTTTAAAAAAGTGCATGATTAAGCTTAGGAAAATGAAAGTTCGACACGATCCAATTTTTAGACATCCTGTACTTTCTCTCCTATAATAACAAAAACGTCACTTGCTACTAGAGTTATGACTCCTAGCGAAAAAAAAGAAGAAAAATGGAGGGGGGGATTTCAGGCATGACGATAATGAAAAAAAAAAATCGGGGTAATATTTTTGATATGATCTGCGAAAAAAAAACGGGAGGACGATAAATACGTCCGGCCTTTCTTCAGGGGATAGTATATTGTTTTAAAAATGGGCGATACTCCACGTTTCATTCACAGCAGGAATAAATGCTTTCCGCGACAGCTTGAAAACAACAACTTCATTATTAGACGTGTCTCTGATCTGAAGAGAGGAGGGATAAATTCGGTACAATCATGCGGATGCTATTTTTGGCGGGGATTATTACGTAACAGGTGTCGGTGGGATGGACGGATCAGTGGTGAGGCGCGAATGATCGATTATCGATATTTCCCCATTTGAAGCTATGGTAAAGAATCGATTTAGGAGTGTTCGTTGCGAATGCCCTGTTTATCGATCCTTTTCCATAGGTTTAAACGGCAACTCAATCGATATATCGCAATACCAGTGGAGCGGATTCCTGTCGAGTGTTCAGTGAGAATCGCGAAGAGAAAAAAGATTCCTCATTCGTCGCAGTTGTGAGGTACGCTTTCTTTCTTGATAGTTAAGAAAGAAAAAAAGAGTAGATGGAATAAAAAAATATTCCAATTGAAACTCCTTACTTTAAAACCGACACTTGAAAATTTGTATTTGTTATTATTTGAATAAAAAGAGGAAAGCTAGTTAAAGCTAGTTAATCATTAGGTTTTCTTCTTTGATAATGGATTCCTTTAACTAGATGCGAGACTATAGCGAAAAATTGCCCGAAAATAACACAGGGACGCAATCCAAAGTTAATTTTTGGTCAAATCCACACTTATCGGGTTGCAAGCGTATGTTACTTGTTACTTTTTTTTCTTTTTTTCTTTTATCAAAATCGGAGATGGAACGCGCATAGACATGCGACATCGAGTTATTCATTTAAATTGAAAAATCTATATGAATGAAATTAACAAAAAAGCAACAAAAACTTGCCAAATAAACCAAAGAATTAAAATTAGGGTTTTAAAGTAAATATTTAAACTATGTCACTTTCGTATCAAAGTAGAAAATAGTTCAAAACTAAAAATTGAATAAAAACCAAAATTATTACAAAAAAGGACGTAAAAAACGAAATAAAAAACGATTAAAACAAATTGATGATCCTCAGTATTTTTCCCTAGGGGAATTATTACAGAAAATCCACATTTCAAAACGCCGGAAATAGACGTGCGTCAGAATGTCCATGGGCCGACTTTTTGAAAAAATAAACGAACAAAATCAAATACTTTAAGGGCCCTCGTCCAAACCAATTAACAAAATACCCGGACGGATAGAGGCAAGCAATAAATGGCTCCTGCATCAAGACTGCTCGTGTGGCGTGGGGTGCTTAGTGCTTAGCGATATATCGATTGATCGGCCATGTAAACCAAAGGAAAAGTATCGATAGACAGGCCGTTCGCAGCGAAAACCTTAATAATCGATTATTTACCACAGCTTCCAATGGAGAAATATCGACAGATCGTAAAGCAACGTAAAACTGACAATTACTCTTTTCATGAGGCTCGATGTTTTTTTCGACTCTCAGGATCAGCCACAGGTTTACGGTTGCCCTTACGACTGAGGTGCGGGAGGAATGCAGGAGGTAAGGATAAATTAAAGAAACAGAAAGAGAGAACAAAAAGTGAATGGGAAAAAAAACCCGTCCACTAAAACTCGGCGCCATGTTGGGTTCGTTACAACTCTGAGACTCCTGGATAGCTGATTTTTTTTTACACATTTTGTCTCAGCGCCGTTGCAAAATCTAAGAAAATATATCCAATTTTTGTGTCATCTATACACAAACAACCTAGAACAGTGGTTGCAAGAGAGGAGGGATGACCGCTGAATTTTGCCCACAAAGTGCTCTGGTCTTTGTTACTTTTTCATTGATAGTGTTGACAGAAATTAGCGGGAAAAAAAACCGAAGGAGCCAAAAGAAGGAGAGGAAGAAGAAAAAACAACCTTGAAATATAACATTTGAATTAGGAAAGTATTCGTCCATGAATGAGTCTCTGATTCATACTTTCTCACAGTGACCATACCCAAATCAGATAAAATTTAGATCTAATTTGAGTGAAAGTTATATTCCGCGCAATATGTTCGGAATTTTTAAAGGTTCTAAATTAAATTTAGAAATTTGACGTCTTGGATCACTAAGAGGAAAAGGGGGACCTGCAGCTGGTGCCATGTTTTTCAACGCAGAATTAGAAAATAATTTCGAATTTTTTACGTCAGTCATAATTTTCATTTCTCATCTTGACGCGACTTGGCAACATGATGTCATTCAATACGATCAGGGCTGGCCTGGGAGATGAACCAGCCAGATTAACAGTGAGGGAGTGGCTTACGAAGCAGAACCCATCTTCCAGGGTTTGGGTGGCTGGAAGGACTCCGGGTAACAATGCAAGCTTCTCATTTTTTTCAGATGAAAAAACAAATGATCCATTGATGAAACGCAGAAGCAAGCAAGTGCACATTGATGTTAAATTCTTTTCGGGACATCGTCAGCACCGAAAAAAATTAGCTACTTATGAGTCATAAAAAAATTCGTGTTAGAAATACGTCTTCTAAGGCGCTATAATATGAGAAAGGTTAGTTTTTTCGACAGTTCGCAGAAATAATGTTACAGCTCTTCTTGCTGCGACAAAAAGGAAATCTCCGCTCAATCATCATTAAAAAATGTTAAGTGCGACGAAAAAAGGACCAAAGGACACAAACCATCGAAAACCATACTTGCTCCGAGCATGCTTTCTGACCTATCTAAAAAACCCAAGGCGCAGTGCGCTTAAAAACATAAAACGCGTTTTTTCTAAGGATAGTTTTTGTACTTCTAAAACTGACCTGTGCAACTGGCGAGTGAAACTTAAATTCGTGTTTCTCTAGTTGGTCGTTGGTGGCGAATTTCGTGGGGCACTGACTGCACTGGTAAGGACCCTCAGGGGTCGAAAGAATGGCGGGTGGTCCGATGGGGAGATCATCCAGAGGTTTAAAGGCTAGTCCGGCCCCTCCGATTGGCAGGTCGTCCAAAGACTTCTTGAATTTCACAAGGCCCAAGCTGCTTTCTATGGAAGGCACTGCAACAGAGAATAAAACGTCCGCAATCAACATCGAGAGAAAACTTTTTGGAGAGGAATAACCATGGAAAAAATAGCACAATCCCGACTGTACTCCTGGTCGATTTTGGCGCCAGATAAAAAAGTATAGTTGCACCAGCCAGAAGTACAGTTGAGTCTGCCAGAGGTGTGGTTGGATCGACCATACCTATGGCTCGTGCAACTACTCTTATACCTGGCACCAATATCAGCCAGGCCAGGGGTATAGTTGGGATTGTGATACTTTGAAGCAGCAAAAAACAATGAAATATTCCAGTTAGGGTAAACAAACATCGAGATTTTGACATTTTTTTTTGCTTAAGCACCACTTCAAAGTTAGAAATAAACAAAATTGTTACGCACACTACCGTAGTAAGAAGAAACGTAGTGCGTACATTCGAGAGTTGACATTTATTTTTAAGGAAAGTTATGCGTAGTTTATCTACATTAAACTGCGACAAAAATTGTCTGAAAAATTCGAGTAAAAATATACCAGATGTTTCAAGTAAATTCGTTTATTTGTGGAAGGAAATAAGGCAACGTCTGAGGTTAATACGGTGATCTTCTCTTAGCACAACAAGATGGAAAACATTTTGGTTGTTTCTTCCCAAAAAATCCGTTTGTAAGTATATGCATAAAAGCACTTATCGGTTGTTACTTCCATTTCCGAAAAATCTAATTCTATCATTTATAGTTTTAGCACTATTAACTTTTCGTGCTACTAATATTTTTTTTTAAAAAAAAAATCGATTGCTGAAACTTTCAGTACAAAAAACACGGACAAGAGAAAGAGAAATCGTAACAGGGTACGCGAAGATTTCAAAATTCTCAGATTCTTCCTACGATAAGGTGCGAGATAACCAGAAGCCTTTGGCGATGGAAAAAAACAACGTTGAAGAAAATGTTTGACGGCAGATGCAAATTTAATGCGCCGGAAAAATTAAACCAACTCACGGCATCACGGAAAAGAAAAGATACATAAAAAGAGGATAGAAAAAACTTTGCAGCTTCTGCCTCTCCGCGAAAAGGGGAAAGGAGGGGGGGGGGGAAGGCAGCGGACAAAAGTGAAAAAGGACTGAGAGAAGAGTGCATCAGTGCACGGCATGCCTGGAAGGGAATTCGCGCAAATGAACCAACGTATCTGAGGCATACTAAGCAAGATTGCCAACTGGAGTCGAAAAAAAAAAGCATAAACTACATGATCTCATGTCTTGAGATCTTTGATGCAGCGGCACTTTTGTCTAGTTGCCATCACTGGACTTTTTTTTTAATAAAGGTGCATGTATAATAAATGCATAATAAAGGAACGTTCCGGGAAAGTTCCAAAAAATTTCCGTATGAAACCTTCTTTCCCAGAAACTACCGAGGGAAAGTCTGAAAGGGCATTACTGTACAAGAGATAAAAAATAAAAAACTGGGTGTACAACGCGAACAATTTGAAGATACTGATAATAAGAACATTCCGAGACAGGTTCATTTTCAGCGACAAAAGCGACAAAAATGGAGGAAAAAATCGCAAAGTGACCTGATCTCAGCTGTAAATAATCCTATAACGGCTCGGAAAGTCCTGCATTTTAACAGTTTTTATGTTTCAAGGGTTTTGCCTTATTCACCCAAGTTAATACTTCTTATCTTACGCGATCTTAATTAATTTGCGCAAATGGATAACATTACCGCATCTAAAGAAGATAGGTGAAAATATAGGCTTAGAAGGCAGTCAGCGATCGCCTTGAATTTGCAAGCAGCATGCGTGCAAAATTGTGAAATTAGAAGAGTTCCCGAAATAGTAAAAGTTTCATTGATGAAGAACTTCCAAAGTGGGGACCCGATTTGGAGCGCCTTCAAATCCGGCGATACTCCCCGCTTCGCCGGGGAGTTAGTTTAGTTGCTGAACCCAACCAAACCTAACTGAGGTCACTGAATTCATTACTACTCGGGAATGTGCTAACTGCTACGACACGCGGAGCGCCTTCAAATCCGGCGATACTCTCCGCTTCTTCGGAGAGTTAGTTTAGTTGCTTAACCCAACCAAACCTAACTGAGGTCACTGAATTCATTACTACTCGGGAGTGTGCTAACTGCTACAACACGTGGAGCGCCTTCAAATCCGGCGATACTCTCCGCTTCGCCGGGGAGTTAGTTTAGTTGCTTAACCCAACCAAACCTAACTATGGTCACTGATTTCATTATTACTCGGGAGTGTGCTAACAGATGCGACACGTACAAACAAAAAAGAGGTCAGATCGAATTCAGAGCATAATAATTGGTACTTTAAAACTTATATTGCTTTTTTTACATTTGATTTTTTCCTTTTTTGATTCAAAGCAAATGGATTGTGATTTGTCAGGCGTTGGGTACAGAAAGAGCATCCCTTGGTTGCAGAGTGTCGAAATATTCATACTACTGATTTACATTATAGAGAGGGAACGAATCAGTGAATTTGCTGAAATTTTTCGTTTTCAGCATTTTTTAATCATGAGGAAAATTCAGTAGAAGTTTCAACGGATTCCGTGTATAGAAGATTTTCTCTTTTTTTTGAGGGGAGGGGGGTTGGATTATACTCCTGAGGCCTATTGACTAATAAGAACATCTTAGTTTGACGTACATGACCGAGAGAAATACATGACGTGGAGAGTTCACCCTAGTGGAAGTGAACCTCATGCGGCGGGAGGTCTGCAGGTGGTTAACCACCCGCGGCGGGGACTAACCTCCTGCAACCTCGTGCGAACCTCAAGCAACCCCCCGTCGCATGGGGTAGACACCCGGTTCCAGGAAAAAACCGAGTAACCTCCCGCGAACCTCCTGCGAACCTCCTGCAGACCTCTCGCAAGCCTTAGTGAACTGCATGCGGTTGCAGGCCCTTGCTTGAGGTGATTAAGGCTTGCGAGAGGTCTGCAGGAGGTTCGCAGGAGGTTCGCGGGAGGTTACTCGGTTTTTTCCTGGAACCGGGTGTCTACCCCATGCGACGGGGGGTTGCTTGAGGTTCGCACGAGGTTGCAGGAGGTTAGTCCCCGTCGCGGGTGGTTAACCACCTGCAGACCTCCCGCCGCATGAGGTTCACTTCCACTAGGGCACCTGTACTTAAAAGATGGAGACAGTCATACTGCCGTGCTGAGGGAAAAATGTCGTATCAGAATTTAAGGTTGCGATATTTCCATCAATAAAACATCATTCCGGATTAAAGATTAAAAATTTTAACTATTTTTCTTTAAAATTTTCCGCTCCACTAGCATGAAAAACGAATAAAGTACTCTGGAAACTTTTAAGAGAAAATATTTCAGAAATTTCCATTAAATTCGTACTTCCCCGAGGAAAATTAGACAACCCTGGAATTTTCATACGTTGTTTTTCTCTCAGCCGACAAGCGACGAGTAGCACGGACTGATATTGAGCTTCCCCGTGAAAATCCCCCCGGGAAATGAGAGGGAGGCAGAGGAGGGGGCCAGGAGAAGGGGACGGCTAGCTTGGGACGAAGTAATGAAACTCGGGCTGCCGGCCACAAAGGCCAGGAATTGAGGGGCGGTGGGGATTCATCGCGAGAAAAAACCCCAGGGATAAAACAGGGAGGAAAAATAAATGAAACTGGGGGATTGCACGGAAGGGAGGAGGGGGGCAGGGGTGAATAAACGAAACTGCGAGGTGCGTAGGTTCCACGATGAAAACGTTGCCGCGCCGACTGAGAACCTCAACGTCTTGACGAAAACAGTAAGTTTTAGGTCATACCGACTTATACCCTTTACGATTATTAAGTCTCTAGATATACCTACAGATTGGCGAGCAACGTGGATCCTTTCGTTCTAAACCATTTGGACCACATTCTGCAATTAGAATACAATTTCTAGCTCATTGTCAGTTTAGGAACAACGTATGTACCTTTAGTTCCCCTCTGATTACAAGTGTTCTTACAGATGAGCCAGATATTGAAGTTCCCGATTTCGGAATGTAGTCCATTTGTACGTAGTTCCGTTTAAAAGACATACGCCCGAATGGGCTTCATTTTGAGATTAGGAACTGGAATTGATGGGTCATCCGTAAAAACACAAATGAGCATAGGGAAACTAACGGTACCTACGTAGTTTCTGAACTGAGCCAGAAATTGCAGTTCCTAAGTACATAATGTAGTTCTCAAATACAAAATATTGTTCCTAAGTGGAAAATGTAGTTCCTTAGTGGAAAATGTATTTCCTAAGTGGAAAATGTAATTCCTAAGTGCAATATGTAGTTTCTAAGTGCAAACTGTAGCTCCTAAGTGCAAAATGTAGTTCCTAAATGAAAAATACAGTTCTTAAATGAAAAATGCAGTTCCTAAATGCAAAATGTAGTTCGTAAGTGCAAAACGTAGTCCAAATACACGACAGCGAGTAGAGATCCTCGCTTAAAGCGGAAGAAATCCATTTATTTATCCACGACACCTGGGCAACACGGCAGAGCTTTCCGGCGAAGCTCCGTGACGGATGGGGGCGTCGGGGGGGCGCGGGGGCGCGGGCGGGATCCGCGAAGCGCGATGATTGGGGCGGGCGCGGTCGGGCGGGGTGGGTGGCCAACCGGGCGCCATGTCGGCGGCGCGCAGGCCCAGGTGGGCGGACTTGCCGGCGCTCCGCGGCAGGTGCGCAGGTGTGAGACGCCCCGCGCCGCTACCTGGCCCACCTGAGCTCCCCATTGGTCAGCCGCCCGGCTTAGCTCCATTTTACACCTGACCCGGGCCCAATCTCGCCGGCCGATGCCGATCGCAGCCAATCCGAGCTTCCGAAAGCTCGAGATAAAATAGAATCTACGGGGAAAAGTACGGATATGTTAACGAGGGTCCGGCAGATGAATGTGCGGACAAAAAAATTAGTTTTCGTGAAAATGTTTCCGAAAGCTCAGAATAAAAGAGGATCTACGGGGAAAACACAGATAATTTAACGAGGGGGGCCGGCAAATGAACGTACGGACAAGAACATTATTTTGCGTGATAATTTAGGTTTGATAATAATTTTAGG